ATTAAACAGTGAGCATCTCTAAGCTTACATCTGTCTTGTGCAGTCTTTGGGGGTAAAGTTAGACTAAGCACTATTTGTTGCTAACTAAAATCCAAATTTAACAGGGAGTCTTACGTCTGACCTGGCCATCTGATTGGCCCGGCCCAGTATCCACCCTGACTTCCCATTCATTCTGACGATCAAGTCCCTCCATCCTCTGAACCAGATTGACCAAACCTCACACCCTCCCTTGCTCCAACAGGGGCCCTCCGTTCAGAGCAGGCTGGCAGCCTGGTCTTTCCTCAACTCTGCGTTCAGACTCACCCTCTCACCTGGGTTGGCTTTTTTCTCTGTCTAAACGGCCTCTTCCTTTTCCCGACACCCCAGCTTCCTCGCCTTCAAGCCTCAGAACACATCTGGCTTGTTCTCCGGAGTCTCTGTTAAACAGCTTCATCGCCCCCTGGGTCTCTTTCGCGTCTAATCGGTCTGTCCTTCCATGGCTTCTCGGAGCTCAGTGTCATCCTTCGAGTCTAACCCTGAATTCTTAAAAGCAGGAATCCTGGTGGAGGCAGCACCCACCAGAGCTGCACGCGGACATGGCTGGGGAGTCCTGCACTGGCCAGGCCCTGGAGGGGAGCTTTCACAGGCCAGGAAGTCATGGGGAGCATTTGGTGCCATATTGCTTGCATCAAGGACACTGCAGTTGACATTGAAAAATGCTCTGTCTTTAAGTGAAATGAGAACACTCCCAAAGCAGCTGCCCTGTGCCTTCAGGGCTTGTGAAGGGCCTAATGCCTACCACAGCAGCTGGTAGCCCGCCTGCCCTGGAGTGTGGTCTTGGTGCGCTTGTGAGTAGTAGCCAGGGGCCGGTGACAGCGGGGGTGGGGTGGGTGGGGGGTGGTGTGCACCCGGCCCTACCACTGCCCACCGCCGGGTCCCAATTCTCCTCTCTGGATTTTTAATCACGGTCTTGTCCTACAGGCACGTGCTTGGGTGGCCATCTGCATTAGTGGCTTTTGGGCCTCAATGAAGAGGTAACGGAGTGTGATTTCTACCACCTTTGGGCTATATCTAATAATTTTTCAGAAAAAAATAGGGTTTCCTCCGCTCTGTGGAAGAACCCTGCTGGTGCGGAGGTTATGTGTTGGGCTGCTAACTGTAAGGTCAGCAGTTTGAAACCTGCAGGCGCTCCTCGGGAGAAAGACGAGTCTCAGAAGCTCCCAGGGGGCAGTTCTACCCTGTCCTACAGATAGAGTCGCTGTGAATCAGCATCGACTCCATAGGAGTGAGTTTGTTTGCTTTTCAGCTATATGGTCATCTTTCCCCTGATTAATTTATGTGTGCCCTCAGAAGGATGGACCAGAGTTATAGCTCAGGTGATTGTAGTGACGGGTCCTTGGCGACATGCAGGGAGCGTGGTGGTGAGGCTGCACTGCGGGGTAGACCAAGTGGCCCGATCAATGCTCTCCTGGTGGGTGGTTGTGTGGAGTACTGCTCTGGGACCACGGCCACACAGATAGGCATGTGTCTTTGAAAACTGGGCAGCCTAGGAAATTCCTCATGACCTAGGAGCTCTGCGTCCGGGAATTCTAGTCACGGCCAGCCAGCCCTCCATTGTTTTAGCTACAAATCCACGAAGGCAGGGTTCCTGAAGATTTGCCCCCTGCCCCATGTAGGTCTACGCTTCCAACACAGAAAGTGGCGAGAGGCGCACCCCCCTTGCACGGAGTCTTGGGTCGCTAGTGCAGAGAGCTTTACATGTGGTTCATTCTGGAAGTGGGGCCTATCATTGCCTTGACTGGATACTTTTCTGCCTTTCAGGTTAACCTCATTGCCGATACGTCCCATTAGGGTTGTATTGACCTCACTGGTGTTCACGGTGCCTTGAGCAGTGCCGCGTGAGCCTTATTTTGGGGGAGTGGATCAAGGACTGGGGACCTCTCCTGCCCAGGAAGTGCAGGGGTGTCCTGAGGTTTGGTGAGCCTTTCTGCCGCCAGCTGCTAAATCTTTACTCCCAAGACCATGAGAAGTCGCAGCAAAACCAGAAAGGCCATTGCACCTGGTTCTCTGGCCCCTGTGGGTCAGCATGGACCGGATGTCAGAGAGTGCCCCCCACCCCATCTCTACTTCTTTTGCCAAAAAAAGGAGGTCACATACTTCAATATTCCGTGATCAGAATTTTGCACGTGTTGAGCGCATTCTTATCTTAGACCTGGGTGGCTCCTAGCAAAGACGTCCACACGGGGGCTGGATGGCTAATGATGCTACTGGAGAGTCTGTGTAGGAGCTGTTTAGGATTTTCTCAGCATCCCTTGTACTTTCTGGTAGTCGTTGTAGTCCATGCCGTTACTTGATCTGTTCTGGGACTTTGGGGTTCTCACTTCTGCCTCGAAGATCCCCCCACCCCAACCCTCCAGTGAAGTCGGTAATTGTCAGGCAACATCAATGGCAGATCCCTCAGAGAAAAAGCCACTTACATTTCTGTCATCAGATAGGCAGCGCCGCCGCCGCCGCCGCCACCTATGGGTGTCCTGCCCATGGACTGAGACTGTTCCCAGGAGAGGCCTCACAAGGCCGTGGGAGAAATGCGATGGAAAGGCCATGGGCTGGCACACACACTCTTTGATGCCTCCCTCCTATTAAGCCATTTCCTTGACTCTTTCGTTTACTATGACAACCGCCTTCCTTTATCTGTGGGGGATCATTTCTGAGGGCTGCCCCCACCTCGTAGATACCTGAAAAGGTGAACGTGCTAAACTCTCTCTATCACATTTCACCACCTCGTGCATGCATATGACAGGTACCCAGGGTACACTGGGTGGGCAGTGTTAAAAAAGAGTCAGAGGCCAGTGGGGTTGGGGTGGAGGAGGCATAGCTGCCCACCCAAAGACGTGGGAGTTTGCTCGATGAGGGCAGGGTCTGGGCAGGATTTCACCACCCTGCTCAGAACAGGGCACAGCTCCATCCTTTGCCCGACTTTTAAATTACTCTCAGGCAAGCAAAGTTACTGAGATTAAAACTGCACATCAATAAGTGGTGGGGGTGGAGGGAGAGGGGGTCAGACCAGGATAGCTCCCTTTCCTTGACTTTATGTGAAGAAATGATTCTTCGGAGAGAGTATCGGTGTTTCGGATTCTGTCTGACAGCTTTCAGACCGCTCAGGGTACCTACGAGCTCACCCATCTAACCCACCAGCCCCAGCCTTGGGTCTCTTCCTGAATATGGTTCTACAGGAGGGATCCACATTTACTCACAGGATTCCAAGGCCAAGTTTAGTTTGGTCTACACCCCACTGTCCAGCCGGCCTCTTCAGGATAAATTGGAACCTCATAGAACAGTCCAAGATTCTAGGTTATGACAGAATCACGCCAAACCAGAAACCAAATCAACAAGTCGATTCCTACTCACGTGTGTCGGTCAAATGGTTTGCTTCACGCAGGAGCTCCAGAGGGTATGATGCCAGTGGGGCAAGGAGCTATGCCAGCTGAACCCCCAATCGAGACCTTTGTGGAGCAGCTCAGCTCTACAGATCCCTTCGAGTTCTTCTGTTAGCACCTTTCCCGGCAGTACTGATGGTGAGAGTCAGTTGGTGTGACGCAAGCTGGATATGGCGTTGTTACACTTCACGTGTTTTTTCACTTCTTGTTTTGACATTTTACTCGCCGTCTCCTTAGTGTTTAAAGCACGCCGGCCTTTTCTTTGCTTTTTTTCCCTCATTCCATTTACACATGTCCATGTGAACGCAGTAAACAGCCGACTACCAGCTTTCTGTCCTCTGGAGGCCCCCAAACTAGGACAGAAGTGAGGAGGTGCCCAAATTCCTCTCTGGGGCCGCAGGGCTGTGCGCCCCCTGGGGAGAGCCGCAGACTGAGGACAGGGGAAAGTTGAAATAGCTATTGGTTCCAGCTAAGCATGTTTTCCATTGTCTTTTGGCCACAAAGAGAAAATGGGAAGCTGCATCATTAAAAACAACAAACAAATAGGACCGGGCCAATGATGAGCTATCAGTTTTTCCGGGAGGCTGGGGTTATTTTTCAGTTTGGCTTTCCACAAAATATTTACAGCATGACATGTTGTATTTGACTGGAAGAAGAAAACAGTTTCTGCTTCTTAAAAATGACCGGGTTTTCAAATGTGTGCAGTGAGGTGAGCCAGAGAGTCCGTCCCTGTCAACACGGACGCTTCTTTTCCTTGGCCAGAGCTCAAGTGCTCCAAATCCCACTCGTGGCCGCGCCGTTTACTGGGCTAAACTTCTGGCAATCAGATGTTTCATAAATTTAAAAAAAAGATTGAGGAATTCAGACCTGAATTTTACTTCTAGGTTTTTTTCAGACACACACATTGGTGTATAAATCTGTTCGTGCGAAGTATTATAAAGCTCATAGCATTTAATTTTTTTCCCATGTAACTATTTCTGGTGCCTTCAAAGACTTGCTCCTTGAGTGAGGGATACTTACGTATCTTGACATCATGCCTGATTTCTAGTACAGCTTCCTTCTCCTCAGATGTTCACGGGTGAGTGGATTCACTTCCGGAGTTTACCTAATCTGTGACACTCCTAGGATAACTTCCTATCAACGCCCTGGGGCAGGAGTCCGGATGACACTGGCCCTGCTGCTCGCACCCGATTCTTAACTCCAGGCGATTGGCCTCACCGACCCTCCAAACTAGAGCATGCCTGAGGTGACGAGGTTTTCAGATGACCCCCAACACATCTGGAATTATCCTGCAGGTCAGTCTGTGTGGAGAAGCTGGAGGAGGAGGAACGATGGTCAATTTGAAGACTGGCCAACCAGGCACCTGTGGGGGCTGTTGAATGCGCCCACGTCCTAGGAGGGCTTAGCCGGCATGAGAGGTGGAGCCAACGACAGAGTCCTTGTAACCCCATGTCAGTTTCTCACCTGGACCACCCACCACACGTTCTGGAACTTCCAGAGACCGGTCTCAGGATTTTCCTTTCCCGAGGAGAGTAACAAGCAGACGTCCGCGCGAGTTACCAGCTACCGCGCGGGGCGACTTACCAGCTCAACATTGTTTTCGGGGAGTTTGTAATCGTAGGAGTAAGGGTAGAGCATCATCTGCGAGTAGGAGTGGATGGTCAGGTAGGCCTTGATGGAGGCGAGGTTTCTGCGGATGAAATCCGCCAGCGCCCGGGTCTCGTTCTCAGACTCGGCAGCAGAGCCACAGTACGTGTCGTCACAGGGGTTGTGGGAAGCTCCTCTTTCTGGGGGACACGGGGGCGGGAAGGGGGGGCACACATAAATGATGGTGACTAGCAAGGGAGTTTCCCGGGGAGAGTTCAAAGCTTCAAGGGAAGGGGCTAACAGTTGTTCTCGGAAGAACCCTTGCAGTGCCCCCAGCTCCGCAGGCTCTGTAAAAGGACTATGTGTGCTTGCTCCTGAGGTGACGGTGGCGCGTTACTATTCCGCTAACACGATCAAAAAGTTGCATGGGAAAGTGTGTCCCTGAGTAAGGTCATGCAGGGAGCACACAGAGCATGAGAAAATTAGCCAATAGGGGACCGTTATTGATGAACAACTTCTGTGTTGACATAATTCTGTTTTGAGAGTTAGCTCACAGAATTCAAATTCCGTGACAGTTTTAATGAGATGTTCATTTCCGTGATTGCCGGGCCCACTAAACTAGGATCACATCCGATTTGTTCATTCCTGTGTCTTTAGTATTTAGCTCAGCTGGGGACATCATTGAGCATTCAATAAAGTTTGTTAAACAAATAAAGAGACTTTATTATCATCTACACTTTCAAAACGTCAGGACCCTGAAATATAAAACTACTTTTTTTGGGGGCTCTGTTGTAGACACGGTTATGTTTTCTCAGACTCCTTTCAACAGATATTTTCATATTAGTTTATATTTTAATATTTTTCAAGTAATACATGCAAAGCTGTCAGGGCTCAGCCAAGAGACTTACCACACCAACCGGCATCAAAGTTTCTGTTGGGGTCTGTACCAATGCAGCTGCTTCCGGCGTTGGTGGAGCGCGTCTTTCTCCACATTCGGCTCTGAAAGTGGGTGGCATGGTTAGGAAGGAACCACGTTAGAAGGTGGTTCATTTCAATTTTATCAGCTCAGCTCAGAATTGGAACATGGCTTCTATACCTTGGTCCAGGTGTAGACGTAGCCATCAATATTGACCACGGGCAGGATATAAAAGTCTAATTTGTCGAGCAGCTCGGTCATGTGGATCTCACGGCCATAGGTGCGAACAGCCTGTGTATTAATTACAAAGTAGAATTTCACTGAGGAATTGATAAAATTGACGTAGATCGGATAAGTGTCCTTTTTTGAGGGGGCATTAAAATGGTATATACTATTAATATTTAAAGACACAGTCAGCCAAATGTCACAATATACCATTTTCTCTAAGTACAAAATCACAATCATATGTAGTAATTGATCAAGGGTTCGTGAAGGTGGGAGGGTGGCAGAGGTTGGGGAACAAAGAAGAGCTGTTACCACCACCTCAAGTAGAAAGAAAAGGCTTGGAAATGTTGATGAACCTATGCACAAGTGTGCTTTGTGCAATTGAATGATGGGTTGGCATGAGATTTGTAAGAGCCCCCCTCAATAAAATGATTAATAAAAAATAAAATAAAAAGAGAAAAAAATTGGTACTTGGTCGTGGAAGTGGTAGAAGGAGGAGAAGAGAAGGGCGCAGGGAAAATCTCTTGGCTTGTACGTCCCTGTCTAGGACACTGTGTTAGAT